TCAGTGTAAAAAAAGCCAACTCCAAACATGTGCTGTTAAAATACGTCCCTCCTGGTGCCATGCATTAAACAAACATCCAGAACAAAAGCTTTTAAATTCTAACTTGACTTTTTGCTTTTTTTCAAGTTAACCCTTTGAAGCACTTCTCACTTACATTCCTAGCAGCATTAGGTTGTGTCCTTAATGTTTAACCTGTTCACTTAAAGAGAGAGAGAGAGAGAGAGAGAGAGAGAAAACAAACTACTGCATGACTCCCTCACTATAAAAAGGGAGGAAGGCATCGTCGTTATCATGTTTCTTTTTTTTTTTTATCCTTCTGGACAAAAAAAAAAGTGCCATGCAGTGCCGTGTGGTGCATGCAAACGATCATCAGCTACATTTTGAAACCACTGAAGTAATAACCACCAAATTTGTCCAACGTGTCAAGCTCAAATACCTTGAGGCAGATAGGAGGAAACGTATCATTTCAGTGGTGGAAACCGGGCAATTAGAACCCTGGCAAACCCAGTAATTGTCAGAGAAACGACGGCAGTGAAGATCCACTACTTAATTTTTGTCATACACCCATGAAAATGATCACTTTACCATAGTGACTACGGACTTTTCTGTGAAAAATAACACAAGTTGAGCTTGTTTTCAGAGGTATATGACAGTAGTTCCAAGCAGTGAAAGCTGAATTTACCTGAAAATGTTGCCATCCAGTGAGAATAACAGCATTATAGCCTTGTAGCAGATTTGTCATTAGAGAGGAATTCAAATAACTGGCCAAGAGAAGACACATCCTGCTTACATGTGCATCCCAAACAGTGTGGTGTACCAAACAGGACAATCTTTTGAGAGTCAACGTTCCACCCCTATTTTTTTTTTCCACAGTACTTGACAACAGTCCCTTCTCCATATAAAATATGTTATATGCTATTTAATGGATGTTTTCAAACCTATACAATGTGAGTTTTCCTGTAAATATCTGTTTTGAGAAGTATTTTGTCCATACACATTAAAGTTTACACCGGATCTAACTCTACAGTATATAAATAATAGTCTTGAGTTTGTTGAAGGAGGTTTGGTTGATTAGTTGTTGGCTGAGGTTGTTTTTTTTTCTTTCTTTCTTTCTTTTTGAGTCTTCTAGCCCATGTTAGAGCGAAGGAAAATGAGTTTGTTCATTTCCTCAGTGGTTACCTGCTGCCTCCGCTTCATGGCCAAGCTCTGCTGGCACACAGTCACACACTCACCATGTATGCCCACAGCGGGCACCGCAAGAAGCCACAAGGCGAGGCGAGCGAGCCTGGGGAACTTCTCCCCCACGGCCGAGCTCCAGAAGTGGAAAAGATCGGGTGTACCTTGGATGAGAGGCTCTGCCAGGTACTGAAATATTTCTTTTCGAACTTGGCTTTGACCCTCAACATTGCACAAGGAGCCCCCCATTGAGGTACCGCCATTGCTCCCAGCTCCCTCTATGCGGCTTATTTTAGGGGCCGGGGGGCCGTCAGTGTCTCGATCTTCACCCACTGACCCTCCACCAGGTGTCATACCTCCATCCCTGCTTTCAGCAGCCATTTCACATGCACGTGAGATAATGTCTTCATGTTGATAAGCCGGCACTGAACGCAACTTGAGCTGCGGGTCCAAGACCATGGCCACCTGATGGGCGCGCTCGACCTGGAGACAGATAGATAGAAATCTATTACCATCAGTGTGAATTCATTAAGTGGTCAGGCACTAGAACACAGGTATGTGTTGGACGCAAAGATTATAACCAAAATCTAAAACCAAAACTGCTGTCAGGTGAATAATTACCAGGGCTGTCAGACGCTTACAATATTCAAATAGATTTATTCTAATCAACAATCCTGAATATGACGAAAGCGTCAGTGTTTTCTGTATTTTGCTGGAACAGAGAGACAAATAACAGCAGATATATGTTTTTATTCGTGATTAATTCAAATGATGGAATTTTTATGTAAAAGAATCAGGAGAAATAAGCAAAAGTTCACCTTTAAAATTGTTCTAACTTCCTTGTTTTTGTTTTGTTTTTTTTAACAGCCTTAATAATTACATTCCTTGTATTTTTGTGTCTATGTGTCTTTTTGTGTCAAACTGTGCTGTAATAAAAAAAGAAGGGAACACGAGTTCAATACCTTAAAATTCTCTTTAAGTGCCTCCAGAAAGTAGTGACACAGCTTGCTGGCTGTGCCGGTTCCGGCCTCTCCTGCTTTTGAGGTGAAAAACTTCTCCAGACGTAGGTAGACGGGCAGCACCTGCTGTAAGGTTGGTCTTCTCTGGCTGCTGAGCTCCAGAGCTGCCAGGCGTAGTGGGGCCAAAAGACAAGCCAGGGTCCCAAGCAGATGTTTGTTGAGACCTTGGAGGAGTGGAACCGTGGCCTTGCTGCGTCCATAAGCTTCACAAATCCGTTCAAAATGGACGTGCACCTGAAGGAGAGCCTCGGCCGTGCGATCCCAGCAGGGCGGAGTGGGGCACTGTGCGGGGCTGCCCTGTGGGCCTTCGTCGCTTGTGCTTGATGATGTGTTGGTGCCGTGCTCTTCGCGCAGGCCCAGTGTGGAGGAGGAGGCGATATCTCTGCACGTGGTGAGGAGCTCGGAGAGCTCGTGAAGGCCTCGAGCCTGCAGACTGCGCTTCCCAAGCACGGCCTGGACGACCGAACTCAGAGAACAACCGGCGCAGCGGAGGCATATCCTCCCGCGACCTCCGCTGCCCAGAGGAGAACCCGTAAACCCTGCCGACCACAGCCTGGGCTCCGACACGTACACAGTGCGAATGTCTGACATGACGAACTCCGACAGAACATTCTGCACCCAGTGGTGAACCTGATCGGGCCCTTCTCTCAGCTCCGTCTCCCTCACGCCGAGCACGTAGCGCTTCAGTCTGAACCCTTCCACCTGGTAGGCTGTAAGAACGTAGCACGCATCCGGTCCGATCGTCTGGGAGTGGCAGGTCACAGCGATGCCAAGTGAAGAGTTGGAGCCAAGAGCACATGTTACCTTGACTTTCACTTGGTTGTACATGCGGGGCAGCTGGCGCAGTGCCAAGGCACTCATGTTGCCAAGAGCATCGCGGGTAGAGTAGGCACCGTGACGAGCACCCGTATCCACAAGGGTTTGTGCCAACTTGAGGAAGTCCTTGCTGTTAAGCACATTTAGCATGCTCAGATCTGAGCACATTACCCGTAAGAGGCGCTCAGCCACCTGCTGTCGCTCTTTCTCAGGAAGTCCGTTATTTTCTGCCGGCAAACGGATGAATGTGGAGGCAGAACAAAACAAAAGACATAACCAGTGTTACTATTTAAAACTGATTACTGACTGAGAAAATCTACTGAAATATACAACCGGAGAATGAGGGAACACGGTTTTAACATGGAAATGACTATTTATTTTACATTTTTTATTTCTTTTCAACTATGGACAAAAATAGAAACATACTTAAGTGTTTAAAAAAAATGTTTTTTTGTGCATACACATAATTGTGAAGCTAAGTATGACACCAAAGACGGCACAGATTAACCCATGCCAGACGTGAGCCAATCAGAGGGAGAGCTCAGCTTCATCGATTTAGAGATAAATGTAGAGAAGCAAAGTTGAGTTTGTGCTCGGTAAAAGATCCCTGAGAAGATTTATGGACATTGTTAAAGATGACATGGAGACTTTATGGAGTCAGATGATCTGCTGTAAGGGAACGCAGTAATGGCTTCTATCCTACATTCTTCTTAACCAACAAGCCACCGAGCATTTGAGTGTACGTTAAGCTGTACGTAGGTCCGATTAAAAAAAAAAAAGACAAAAGTGAGGACGGCACTTACGGCTGAGTGAGTGGTTTCTCTGGGAGATATTTTGAGGCTGGATTTGTAGTTTGACTAAGGAATGGGCCTGAGACTGAGGACCTCTCCACAGCTGCTCCTGAGAACCGGTGGCTGTGGAGGTCTTGGGAGATTCCCCTTTGGTGTGATTCTCATTGTCAGCTAAGGAGAGAGGCAGACACAGAGGGACAGGGGGAAGGTCAGGCCCAAGTGATGAAAAGGTTCACATTTAATGGACACAGTTTTCTGTGTTTCCTGTGGGTCAGAATGCTGATAAACAAACAATGACACAGAAAAAATAAAATAAAAAAATAAATAAAAATAAATAAATATAACCTTGACATTAATTGTACTATTGTGCTTAAAGTATTAACACATTAATCACATCATGTTTAGAATTAAAACCTTTATTAAAACCTGGTAGTGGTGGTAATTAAAGAAAAAAAACAACAAAATGTTCACCATTGATATCAAAGTATGTTTCACATATATCAGCCTGTGTGATACACCTAGCAGCTTTTAATTTGTTTTCATTTTGTATTATTATCAGATTTGGTTACTATTGGGCAAAAGCTGTGGTTTCTTTCTTTTTTTTAACCAATCAAATGACTAACTGCAGAGAGACGGGACTTTCCTGCAGCCTCAGATCCAGATCTGCAACAACCCTCAAAGCTTGTGATTGCACCTACAAACAATGTTGTTGTATAGTCAACATTTCCCCTAATTTAAGTATTTAAAAATACTAAAGGTCGAAAAAAAAAAAAACTCTCTATATGCTGTTCTTATTTTAGTCATTCTCACATGCAGTGCAGCCACTGAAGGTGTTCATACTGTGTTCATCTGTCTGTTCTCCTGTTGAGTGCAACATGCCCTTGTAGTCGTGGACTCACCAGCATGGGACTGCATGTGCTCCAGCAGGTTGTTGTAGAACTGGAACTGAATGCCACAGGCACCACATGTGTAGGGTTCTAAAAAATCACAAGGTCCAGAAGAGTGTATGTTGACTCTTTGTCAGAGGCAAAAGTGAAAATACTATTTATCTGTCTGTAAACCGGCCTCTGCCAAGGGGAGCAGCACTAAAAAAAAGTTACCTTAAATTTTCATCACCTGGCAGACAAATTTAAATGAAACGAAGGAAAAAAAAAACTAACACATTTTGTTGTTTTTTGATGCCTTTTTGAAAGAATATGTTCATTTTATCTTAAGTTAAAAAAACTCTACCCTCTGTTTAAAGTGTTCATGTCATCAGTTGTTTATTTTAGGTTTGTTTTACAAACCACAAATATATAAAAAACCTCCTAAATACATTAGTCAGCAAATGCCCAGAAAAACAGAGTTTATGTTTATCTCAACAGAAAGCAGATGTAAAAGAAACTGATGAGCTCGGAGACATAGTGAAGCCGATGTGAAAAGTCTAAAACACCTGTTTAGTTAATGTGGATAATGAAGGAAACAACGGGGGAGAAATTAGGCATACCAAAAATAAATGTAAAAAAAAAATGCCTACGGATGCTGCATGAACACGTTTTGTCTTAGCAGTAAGGTGGGGCTGGACTTACTCTGTGCTGCAGAAAAGGAGGTGGCCACCAGAGGGCTCGGTGTTCCTACAAACAGGGAGGAGGAGTTACTGTAGTTTATTTCTATTGTCAAACCTTGTATTTTTTAAAATGTTCTAACATTTTTTTCTACCGAGCTCTCATTCAGTTAAAGTGTCATAATTATGCAGATATAAGTTCTGTATATTAGGAGCGATACTGAATACTGAGACAGTACTGTGCTCTCGCTGTCTTACTGCAGAGAGATCAGCAGTTTGGTGGTGATTGGTGGTCTTTTCTGTGTGCACTTTACATCTACACTCTGTGTGCGTCCGTTTTCTCCTGGATACTCTGGTTTCTCCCCAAAAAAACACTCAAAGCTGTTGTTCTCTGTGTACGTGGCTCTGAGATTAACTGGACATTTTTTTCCTTTTGTGCCCTGCCCTCGTCCAATGGCTGCTAGGATTGACTGCAGCAACGTGAGTTAAGAAAACAAATACCCTTAAACTTAGGAATAATATCTCCCAGGAGGGTCATCACCTACAGAGAAACAGACTTTTTTTTGACAGATTTTACATATTTGCCTGTAATAACCTGAGCTTTAAGTGCAGCAGCACATCGCCAATGAAAGTGATGAGGAACCAAAAAAAAAAGATCTAAATCAGTGGTTCTCAAACTGTGGTACACATACCACCATTGGTACGTGCGGAAAATTCATATTTTCACATTTACGTTTTCAATTGAATAAATCTGAAACATACCATGCATAATTAATACAACATTTAGAAAAAATGTGTAGCTACTTGTGAGATTATGAAATGGGAAGCTAATAGGAAAGGCTGCTGTATTCTAATGTTGGTCATCATGGTGGTACTCAGAGAGCTCAATGTTTTCTCAGGTGGTACAGAGTATAAAACGTTTTTGAACCACTGATTTAAGACGAACATTCCTTGGTTTTAGCAGGTTTAACTAAAACATTCAGGAATATTGTAGTAACAGTAATTCTTGTTGTAATTTCTCTTTTTCAACTTTCGTTATCCACTTTTCTAATTAACAACAAAGCAACCAATATTATATACTTTTTTATATATAGTCATTTTTAAAACATGTCTCTTATTCCTTTTTTTCTATATTTAATATATTTTTTCGGTTTGAAAAGGATGCAGCAACAAACCAAAATATATTGTACTGCCTTAGTACGGTGTATAACTGTGTGTGACAAATAAAACTGAAGAAAACGTGTTAATATTCGTTAACAATGCTCAGGCTGGGACCGTTTCTTAAAATCCATGTTAGGCGCTGTAAATTGCAGGGCAAGTAGCTGCGTGGAAGCGGCTGAAATTTGGACAGAGCTCTGTTCAATAATGGCCTTAAAAAAAAAAAAAAAAAAAAATCAATCGATGTAGAATGAGTATCTTAATGCTCACCACTTGAATTCTTGGAACTATTCGTGTCAACCAGACTTGTCGGAATAGCACTCTCCAGTTTCCGCCTAAAAGGACTGCCTGTTATCAAAAAAAAAAATATATATATATATATGAGCATCACAACCATCCTTAATAATTTATGTAAAATATCAAACTTCAAGATACTGACATTATATCAGTGTAGACACAGACAAGTCAGCCTAACCTTTGATTTTTTTTTCTTTTTTCTAAGGGGACATTTTTTCTTAAAATTTTACGCTTATCCTGCAGATCACGAGACAACAGCCTTGATCAGGAATTTCAAGATTCATACTACATTTAAATGTGGCTTTAATTCCTCTTCTTCATTCCATCTTATTGAACCACTTCTAAGATGTGACTGCAGTGCTTTAAATAGTTCTTTATAACAGAGTGCTTCTTAGCAGAAAGATTGGGAGGATTCATGAACCACAAATACAGAACCCACTGGGAGGAAATCAATGATTTATGACAGCTGAAAAAAAAAGGGAATGTGGTGAAGCTGAGAAAAGACCTCTGTATTTCAAATTGACTGAATTTTGGTTCAGACAAAAGTCTCACATTTTCATTGTCTGCAGAAAAATATTACGTATCAAAAGTGTTGAAAAGTGACGGTAAAGTCGGTGTTAAGATTAACTGGTTATTAACTTCAATTTAACATGTTTCATGTATTGAAAAGGTGGTGGACAAAAAAAAAAAAAAAAAAATCTTTTTTCAGGAGAAAGAAAAACATAGTTGTTAACTTTAAATCATCTTTACGGTCTGAGTCATCAGACATCAGACTCAGACATCAGATTTTCACTGCACCCCCACAGCAGTGACTGTACCATGCTGTCATTGACCACTTCTCTGCACCACAGCTGACGGAAGTCTCACTTCATTTTTCCAGAGTATTATTTAACATTTAAAAAAGAAAATCTTTTTTTTTCTTCTTTTTCAAACTGTTGACGTCTTGAAAGTTGTTTATGTTTTCATGTGTCAATGATTTTGTCGGCCATGACAGTGTAGATTTACATATCGATATATATATATATCTATACATTGGGTTGACTATGAAGGCGCACACACACTTAGATCTACTTTGTAGTATTTAAAAAAAAAAAGTACTTACTTTTTATCTTAGGCGCTTGACTGGCAAATTTACTCAAATCCATACTTCCACATTCTTGTATCCGAGCTGCCTTCAGATCAAACGAGCCTGTGACAAGAAATTTAAAAATCAATTGTAGCTCGGCAAAGCATTTTTTTTTTTTTAAGAAAAAGGTAAAAATATAATAATCACCCAGGTTCTTCTGAAGAAACCCCTAAGTTGGAAATGTTTAAAGTCTGTAAAAGGCAGGTTTTGAGAAAGAAAGCGTAAACTCACTCAGTGGTGTGTGAAGAGCGACGTGCTCCTGGTACGGGTTGAAGTACTTGTACTGCTTCCCACAGAACTCGCAAACATAGCTCCCAGTTTCTGGACAGACAATACAAAGACAATACAGAAACCATTTTTGTTTTCAGTCCGTTCGGCGTCAAAGTCGCTTATTGAATGTTTCCATCATTAGTGAACGTACACTTATTTTGGATTAGTCGTGTTCATTGAAAATCATGGAGGGGAATTACTTTGTTAAACTCATGCCTGTGTCATTGGGGGGAGAAGCAGACCCGACATAGTAAGGGGAAAGAAAAAGGTGCTGCTGATTCTGATGGTGTGTTCACACTTGTACTTTCACTTCTCTTGGCCGAGACCAAAGCAGAAATGACGGCCTTTAGTTCATGTTCACCTGCTCTGGTGTTTGTCTGCTCTGGTAAACAGTAACTGTAACAGTACGCAGGAAAGCCACAGTGTGATGTGTGCCTTGGTAACGACATCATGGTTTGGTACAATGACAAAATGTCCACTATTGAGCTTACTAAAAAATGAAAAAAATAAAAATAGATTCATAAAGTACAGTGTGCCTCATGGCTCTCATGCATTTATTCTCCCTCTGTCTGATGTGTGCTTCTCATACATCAGAGGAGTTTGCTCTGCTTTTTCACTAGTGGGTTTTTTTTCCCTGGTACCAGTCAAACCCAGACTGAATGATGCTGTTTCAAGTGAGTTACATGTTTGGTGGATAATCAGCCAGTTAGCAGATTTTATCTTAATGGCAATCCTGGGAGGGGCGGGGGGGGGGGGGGGGTTTCCCACTCAATTGCCTATTTCCACTGCTAGTTTAATTTAGATTGCCAGTCTTTGCCAACAGCTAGCTGAGGTAAAGCTGCTGGAAGTAACTGAGTGACTCCTGTAACTTTTGCTCTAATCTGTACCACCATGGTTACCCTCGATGCAGTTCCAACCGTTACAGCCCTAATTGTGAATGACCTCATTATTCAACAATTACAACAATGCAACAAAATGGGATTAAAGTGGTCTTTCACTTCTCCACATTTTGTCCCGTTTAATTTTGTTTTGTTTTTAATAATATTTTTTTTCATACAAATGTTGGAGTACAGTTTGCTCTATAAATCCTGGAACCATACTATGAGACCCATGAGAGAGCTCCGAGATCATCATCCATGATCAGAGCTCTTCTCTGTCTCAGTGAACCACACCAGAGTTGGTTAAAAATGAACCAATCAGGACAAGCGTGAACACACCCCCAACGTGTATCTTTACCTAGGTGTCAAAATTTTACATTTAGCTACACCCAAACATTAGTTGGTGACAAAACCACAGGGGTCTCCCAGTGTAGTAGCATAGAGGTTGACACGATCCCCAGAATCAATAAGAATCATTAGTGCAGTGACAAGTGCAGGCTTCCCACCTGCAAACAGTGCCAAGTGTGTTTGAAGGGACACCCTCTGCCGTCGATTGAATCCACTGTCTCTGAGGAGGTGGACGAGTGATTTTTCCCCTGTGAAGGAGGACTTTTTGGACTCATGTTCCGAAAACCTTTTCAGCGTGAAGTTAACTCATATGCTTAGTGTTACTTTGCAAACATGGATCACGTCCATGACTTCAAGATTTCATCACAGACCGCGTCCGGTGCATTTAACTGCACACAGGTGGACTGGAGCTGTGCAATGGGAGTTTTTACAGAGACAAGTAAACATATGTTTTAACTTAGGTTTTGATATGGTTAACAATCAGCAAAATATAACCTGAAACAAATATGAAATAATTAAAATATATATGTATACATTATTTGCAACTTATACAATGTGTAAAAAGAGCTACAACTGCAAAAATCCTTCTGACACAACTTTTTTGCTTTGTCGTCTTTAAATCTCCATTCACCTTGTGCTGAAATGTTCAATGAAACAAAGACAAACAGTCTTACTTGGTCCAATTTTCTGATAGGGTTCAACAGGCTCCTCCTCTTTAAGGCCATCCACAGGTACAACTACCTGTTCGTAAGGATCTGATACAGAAAAAAAAGGAAAAGAACAAGTATAATTCGGTTCCTCAATGAATATGGAGGCTGATTAAAAAAAAAAAGTATGGTTTTAGCACGCCATTTTGTTAATCTGGAGTTTTAGCATCTCCTTGAAATGTGCTGTTAAATGAAATTTAGTGCACATAAAACTTTGTGGTTTTTAATTAGACTTTCCTCTCTGGGCGCATTCAACACCAACAAACAAATTTATATGGGAGCTAAAAAATCACATTATGACCTTATATAAGCCTGCTTTCATCTGCACAGGTGATTAAAAAAGCAACTCTTTGTTTTATAGCATCATCACTGCAACAAAACAAAAAAAGAAAATGATGTAAGCGGTGTTCATAACCTTTTCAATACAATTAAATAAAAACTTTAAAAAAGAGCCACCAGACTTAGATCAGACTTTGATTATTATTATCAAAAAAATTGAGACTTCAGGTTTTCATCTTGATGTGGGTCTAAAGTTTTCCGATGAATTCCTTCAACTTCAAATGGGCTACGTTTAAAATAAATAAATATATATAGTTACCGTCAACTGCATGTAGGTCACGGTGCTCCTGGAAGCAGCTGTAGTATTTATATTTTTTGCCACAGATGTCGCAGGAGTAACGGAAGCTACCTGAGATCAACAAAAGACAGAGAGAGCGTTCAAGACGTGCAGAGAGCAGAAGTGAACACAAACACAAATCACACATTTGAACCAATGATTGTGCCACGGCAAAAACATTGCCAATTTAGTTTCTCTCTCTCATATATATTCTGACTGACACACACACTCAATAGGAATCATAATTCAAATTAAAATGCAGTAGCAGAGAGGCTTTTTCATTTTCAGAATATACCTATATTTTTGGACTAAAAATCAATCATGTGAATTGCATTTTGTTTTTTCTTCTTCAAGAGAGCTCATTCTGTGACTTAAATAAAAAGAAAAAAAAGGACTTTTAAGATTTAATTTTCGAAGTACGAAAAATAATTTTGAAACATCAAATTTGAAAATTAAAAGCTTTTTCATTTAAAAAATATAACCACACTTTTTGACTCAAAAATGAAATTAATCATCATTCAAGCAAACCGCATTTTCATTTTCTTTTAAGCATCGCTCATTCTGTAATAACTAAAAAGTAAACGAAAAGGGAAGGTTTTTATGTCTGCTCCGCAAAAAAGGTAACAAAATACTCTGCCGTCACAGACAGACGTCAACGTAGTTGCCCGAGCTAACATGCTCTCAGTCCTCCAGTGATTGAACGCTGGAGGACATTTTATTTATGAATCAAAAAAATGCAGCTATATTCTGAAAATGAAAATTAAAAAAAATGTATTTGAATTATGGTACCGATTGTCTTCCATACACACACACACAGAAAGAGTAGTTGGAGTTAATAAATTGAATAATAATAATTTGAACTTTATTGACCCAACACTTGGGAAAATTCTTGTGTTAACAGCAGATCTGCTACAATAGGCTGCTCCTTGGGGGCGCCAGGTATGTGGTTCCTCTGGGAATCGAACCCAGGACTATCTGCTCTCGGCTTTTCAGGCAGGCGTGCTAACCACTAAAAGTAGGCATTCCTTTATTAGGAAATACTTGGCTGGACTTTTCTACTGACAAGGAGCAGATTCATGTGAGGTGCAGCTTTTTACCATGTGATATGTCACACATCAAGTACAAAGTACATCTATAGTACATTGGCACAGTAAAACACTGTACCTAGTACTAAGTGCTAAGTGCTTTCTTAACTTTCAGAGTATAGCTTTTCATACATTTATTTCCACAGCAAAATAAATTGTCTTTATATCTGACCTGCTCTTCAAACAGAGTTCTGTCTTTGATATCCATAGTTCAGAAACAAACAAAGTAATCCATTCCAGTTCGTTTGTGCTTCTAATGAATGGACTTCCTGGTTTAACCATTACCTGAGGCCAAACACCCCCACAACTCCTGACACCTTTTTTTTTTTTTGAAAACCATAGATGTATTTTGGTCTTGCCGCCTGCTTAGTCAGAACTAAAAACGCTTATTCTAGCCACATTCCCAATTTAGCCTCTCGTACTCCATCTAGAATGTTCCGTCTCATGGCTACATTTTCCAGAGTTGGATTTGAAATGTTGACTTGTGATATTCAAAATGTGATGAAACAAGAACCGATAATAACTGAACTTAGTATCTTTAATGTGTTGCCCCCCCACCCAACTCTAGTGATGTCTAACATTATACTTATTAAAATAACTATATATAACTATTATATATATAATAAATACTTTAAAAATCCCATCTGTTCCCATCACAGATTTTCTTTTATGTCTGTGTCACAGGCCTTTTTAGTTTCTCTGTAAATGTCTCCCTCTCACAGGTAAAAGAATAAGTTCTATTTTTGTTCCGTCTGCACAGAGATGATTGCACTCTCTCTCTTTTTTTTCTCTTTCCCATGTTGTTACTGAGCAATAAAGCCACACGAACGCTCGTGCAATGATGACTGTTAACGCTGCTGTAGGAAGCTTTATGAATAACTGACGTAAAGCTGGTATTTTTGGACGGAAATAAAGTCTCACCGTGATTCCCAGGAGTGATTCGAAGATCACCAACAGATGAACATTAACATCACAACCTGCACCTATAGGACATTTGTGAGAACTGACTTTGTCAGACAAAGAAAGTCTGGAACTTTGACTATAAAATGAAATGCATTTTTGCTGTGTTACGTTGCTGCTGGGTGTTTGATTGACGTGTGTGCCTTACCTTTTCTTACCTTTCATTTGTTTAAAAGAAAAATAACAAAATGTTTAACTTCAAACTACTTTGTTTACTTTTTTAAAATGACATGTGACTACAAAATGCGGTCCAATGTGCAGCCTAAACACGCTGCACAAACCTTATATACGTAGGACAACAGTGAACTTTTCTGTGGCCTGTTAAAATGTAATTACGAGGTTGATCATTAACCTAATCTGTCTGCCTTTTAAACCAGACTAATCTATCTTTTTAGAAATATAATAAAGCCAGTGTTGGAAATCATCAATTAATTTATTTTACCTCCCTGGTTTTTTTTTAAATTATATTTACACTAGAGAAGTAGTCAAGGTTTGTGGCATGTTTAATTTAGACAGGAAATGAGTCAGTGGCAGGTCCTGTAACCAGAAAACAGACTTTTGGAAAATTGTAATTATCACCTGAAGCAGATAAAAAAATAAATCTCTCACTAACCCTCACTTTTAAGTTGTTTGTGTTGACAAAACACCAACCTACAGTGATGTTTGGAATCCGACTGTAGACTATAAACAAACACAGATCATCCACTCCTCTAAATAATGCCATTTCAACGTTGGTTACGTGACACTCAGACCTACGTACATATACACACTGAATATCCACAGTCACTGTTAATTCATTACTTATGTAGTACTGCAGGGGAAAAAAAAGACCTCAAATCCTTCAGACAATTTTCCAGTTTTATGTTTACAGTATCTCGTCAAAGACCTGATGTTTTTTTTCTTATGGAAATTGGTTTTTGGTTCAGTCCTTTAAATAAAATCTGGGTGTAAAGCTCGGCGCCAGACTACTTTTTTTTGTACAATCTTTTCTTTCTTCAAAAAAAAAACTGTGACTAACTCCCCATGAAGACACTTTTGTGGAAGAGGTAAGCGAGACAAATTTGATTACAATTATCACTGAGCGCTTAGTTCTGGCTTAAGTCTAAGTCGCTGCACATCAGTCGCTGTGCAGTTGATCCACTGTTTAAAGTCTAGAATAAAATCTGTGTGTGTGTGTGTGTGTATATATACATATATATATACTGTGTATATATATACACACATACACACACACACACACACACACACACACAGGGAGAGAGAAGTAGCACACTGTTAGCATGCATATGAGCTTGATTGTACTTGATTGTGTACTCACTGTTGGGAGCCGGAGGTAGGCCATCAACGACAATAGATTCTGATTCTATAGTAAAAAAAAAAAAAAGAAAAAGAAAACCAAAAAGAAAAATAAAATGATTGTGCCATATGTACCACAGAGTTCAGCTTTATTTATTATAACCTCAAGGTAATCCTGGACTTGTGTCAAGAGTAAAAAAATATATAAAATATATATATATATAAAATAGATATAAAATATAATAGCTCAAAATAGAGTATAAAATATATTTCAAAGTAGATACTGTGAACAGATATTTAAAAAAAAAAAAAACGAGGGTCTCCGTCTTACCTCTGTGAGCCCTTACGTGTGTCTGAAAGCAGTTATAGTACTTGTACTTTTTCCCGCACACACCACACACGTAGGAACCTGCATGGAAATTTAAAACTGTGTTGTAAAAATAGGGAGAGAGTATTATCAGGAGAATATAACTTGTAACATATTTGTCACTAGTTTCTTGGTTCTGTCTTATAATTGATGTGATCTCCCAACCACTGTGTGGGTAATACCAAAAATACCACCAACAGTGAGATAATGGCCTTTGCTGAAAGGCAAATACTACATGCAATATTTATGCTTTATAAATCCAAGTCCATCCTTCACATTAAAATTACCCAGAATTCCACTGAGATTTCGTTGATTTATACAAGTCTGATTAATTGATTCAATTAGGGGAATGTCCTGAGCCCAGTGTGGTATCTGAGGTAATCAAGGCTCTTTTAACTGGTCAGTATCAGTTACGGGGAAGTAGCTTCTATCTAAAACTCTGCTGATTAAAATAAGTGTTAAAAAGTGTTAAACGCTGCTCCTAACAAAAACAGATTTTTGAAAGTATATTACATTCAGATGATTATGTACTCCTACTCAGAGGCCACTGTATCTCACCTTGGTTGTGGTGATTTTTCCCACAGATACCACAGTTGATTGGAATTTCAAACAAGGACTTTTGTACTGCAGTTACTGCCAGGTTTCATTTCAAGTGAAAACTTTATGTGCATTTGCATATTTACATTCACAATTTGCCAACTGTGTCTCAATGTCAATGACTATTAGAAGAACCGTTAGTGAGTGATTTGTTTCCAAATGAGTGGAAAAAAGATGGATTTCATATGGCACCTATTCAGGCCATTAGCTTTTAAGAAGCATACCCAGCTAAGTTAAATGAATAATAAATAATCACATTACGAGACTCATGTAATTAGTCTTTCCTTTACTGATCCATGTCTTGACTGCTGCCACAACTGACGAGACAAAAATGTATTTGTGGAAGTGAAAATTTACAATAAAGAGCACATACTGAGTCATGCTACCTATTCAAATTATTATAGGTTAAGTCAGAAAAGGATCACAGCTGGATTCTTTACACAATTTCTTTCAACAGCGCTGTTCTGCTGGACAACCGATTTCTGTGGCTTTACCTTTAAATGGTAATAAAACACTGTGTGCTCCGACCACGAAAAGAGAAAAGTTTGAGTCGAAGTCAGACCTAGAGCAAGATTAACCGCCTGAAGAAAGTGGAGAGCCTTTAATAAAACAGGATGTTCAACAGTGTTTAGTACTTAGTTTGTATTCCACAACATTATTTTTCTGTTAACACGTAGACGAACAGAAAGTCGTACAGCCGCAGTGGCTGTCTCCCCTATACTGTTGCAGATGACAACCCACTTCTAGTTCCTCAAGCGTTTACGTAATATAGCTGGTGTTAATTTAGCACTGTGCTAAATAAGCAGCTGCGCTTAGCTTTTGGGTTGTACATGACAGCAGTCCAGCAGTGGAGTACGAGAAAAGCAAATGGCTGTTCCTGGTATAAGTAAGAGCGGTAGTAATAGTGGAGTGGAGCTGACCGGTGCATGGGGGGGCAGAGGGTTACTAGAATTATTTGAGACACATTTCCAGATTCTACTTTTTTTTTTTAGTTTGTTGAAACTGGCACTCAAATGGTATGCAGTGATGCAAATACGTGCACCAATGCACTGACTCATGACTCATTTGCATGAAATGTCCTCTACATAAAATAAATAAAACAACTACAGCAAACATTGTCAACTGTTTTTTTTTTTTGTTTTTTTGTTGTTGTTGTTGTTTTGGAAGGGTTGGCAAAACCAATTAAACTGTTTGGTCTGGTCAGTATTTCTAGACATCACCCTGCTGTTGATCTCACTGACACTGAGGAAACATGGCCAGGATCAAGGGACACCAGGGTTAAAGGACCTATGCACACACCTATGCAAGAGTCTGTGCTCTTCGTTGGAGGGGGAGTACCAAGGGCAAACATACCCTCGGCCGGAGCTCGACGGGGTCCAACTCCACTGGCTCCTCCATCAGTTCCTCCGATAACAACACAGATCTCAGCAGGATTGGCGTCAGCAACTTTGCCGTTGCTCGTCTCCGAGGTCTCAGGCTCTTTCTTGACTATGACAGGCGCTGGGATCGTGACAGAGGGGCTTGAGGTTAAGGCTGTTGTGGGGGCCTCAGTGGCCACGATCCCACTGTTTCCCTGCTCCGTCTCAGGATTGGGTGCTTCCTGTGCACTCATGACTCCTCCTCCTCTGAGCCTGTGTGTTTGTATGAGAAAATGAAAACAAAAACACATTACACAAAGATACACATTTGTTTTTAAAGCCTTAAATGGCAACTGAGCACAGATCAGCCTTAAATGCCTTAAATGGCAACTGAGCACAGATCAACCATGTATTTTGTGTGGCAACTATTACTGAAAGAAGGGCATTGTATCAATATGCTGACATTTGATTTACAATGAAAAAACAAGTTCGCCTGATGCTTAAAAAACAAACAAATACACAAAAGTAAGGAAACAAAATTCTTCTTTACTCAGATTACAAAATTTGAGGTTACAAAACAGACATGTTGTGCTTTTGAAGAACTGTTCCTGAATAAACTTTGATGGCATCAATTCCACAGTTTCATTTTACCCAAATGCTCTAATTTCAAAAATATCCAAATTACACAACCTGCAGCTTCAGCGCAGGGCTATAAAAGGCCTTGTCAACAGAGACTGTACAGAAAATGCAACCAAGCAAAACAGAGTTGTGCCAGAATGACTGATATTACGGAAAGAGGTAAAAAATTCTAATAATAGCAGACCAACAAAGCAACAGAAGGCCTTTTCATAGCCCACATACGACTTTCTTGTGAAACAACAACACAACCGACAGAGAACTGCCTGAATAGCATAATACACCAAAATAAAATAAAGCTGTTAAAGACTGAGCTGATGTGAACTTCAAGCACTGTTCAGTGTTCAGCACTTTGGTGGGAACCTGTGCAAGTTCTGCACTTTTGTTGACTTCAAATGAAATCACCATACATTACTGGCAATATATGTAAAATATGTAAAACACGGAGCACAGGTGAAAACTGAAAATGAAAGTGCGTCTCAGCTAAATTCAACCAAGACGAGCAGCCAGTGGGTCGCTGACATAAAAAACAGGGGGCAACAACATGATAATAACAGCCTATAAAAACACTGGAAATATTGTATTTTCACTGAAAACATATAAAGAGAAAAACAGAAATAGAGGGAGAGACTGAAAAGAAACAGAGCGAGAGCGCGAGAGAGCGAGAGAGAGAGAGACAGAGCGAGAGAGCGAGAGAGCGAGAGAGAGAGAGAGAGAGAGAGCGAAAGACCCAGACAAAACCTTAGTAGCTCACATTTTTAGTGAAAAACTGATTTCATCTCCATCTTACAACTGCGTTTCCGTACAAGGCGTATGTTTTGCTCATCATATAATGGACGCAGTCTGAAAGGGTTGACGACGTCATTAAAGTTTTGTCATGTTGCGCGTTTCTAACCCACAGTTACTCTGGGAATCTGCGTGTCGATGGGATATGTTGCGTCATTTGGTCACTGACAGTGGAAGCCACAACATTCCAAAATTGTTATTTTGGTTGCATATCAATATGCAGTTCACACTTTGTGTGTTGTAGAACTAGTATAGGATTTCTTTAACGTCTGGTGAGTTATCAGGTTTATTTCATGACCTATTATGACAAATAAGAACATTAGCTTTTACAAATAAAATAGTAGTTCAATTTGTCAACATCATGCACCACATGGGGGAGGGGTTGACTCAATGTTGAACTTCAATAAAAGGTCAAACAATCAGTTGAACTAATGCCTGGAGTCAATCCATAAACATGAATAATCTATTTTCTGACAGAAAATGTAAATCACTGTTTTTAGTTAACATTTTAATTTTAACTTTCTTCGGCAGGATTCACTGATATTGACCTGATAATTTTATGGCATATATAACACTTTCCGTTTCTCTTGATGCTACCATTAGAGATTCATTTGGACAACTTAATAGTTGACAACTTAGTATATAAGTAGTGGTAAAGAGATATATTTGAGGTTTAAAAAGATAATCTATATTACATTGTTTGTCATTTTCTGAACTATGCAACATAAAATTATCAATCAAATTTATCAATACAAAAGGACAATGACCACCAAACATTATATGTCTGGTTGGTATAGAGAAAACGTATGGTTTTTTTTTTATATTTACCTAAAGCCTAAGTCACCTCACAATGAAGTGGTGACACTTCATTCAATCATGAAAACTGTTACACTTCCGGCATGGCTGCAATAAGAAAGTATGAACCAGATTTTTAACCTCGTTTTTCACATGGAAATCTTTTGGGTCAGCAAAGTTAAGGCGCCTACTTCCACTGTCTACAGAGAAGTGCCAAATTTTACATCTCCATGACATCATCAGTTAAACGGACATCGTTCTTTTTTTTTTACAGTGAAGATTGAGTCCTCACAAAAATCACAAAAAAAAAATAAATCTTGAAATAGTTGGCATTCTCCTTTAAGTTTAAAGCCAAATGACAAATGACAACATTTCTAAATGTTTTCTTTCCAGGTATTTGGTGATTTAATTTCAAATGTGCAAAATCTCTGATATAAGAAAGAGTTGAGCTTTGCTTCAGAAGACACAACTACAATAAAAGTTACACACCGTGTGTGTATAGAAATATATTCCTAGACTTTGCTTCTTACAAGGCCAAACACAGCCGCCATGTGTTATCTTTGTTATGAGTCTATAATATCAAGTCATTGTTTGAAAGACTAGTGAAAGAGACAAAAGCGATTAAAGCATGAATAGCAAACCCTGGCCAGAGAAAACGTACAGTTTTAGCGATTTATGATGCAATAAAAACATATACTGTAGCACTTGTTTTGTTGCACAAAGTAAACACGAGAGTGGCGCGTTGGCCCAGAGGCAATGTCTCTGTCATTGGTGTGGAACCCTAGGGTTCACCTCCTGGGCAAGTTTGAATCCCGGTTAGGGCGATTGGTACCTTCCAGTGGACTCACCACCCACAGGAAGATTTGGGGGGTTTGGTACGGTGCAATGTGATTTGGGTGGCGACTGCTGCCCCCGCGACCCGGTAACGGATAAGCGGATGAAAATGAATGGATGGAGTAAATACGAGTCCTCCGTCATTGCACTTGTTTGGGTTCAGCCTCTGAGCCAGATTTTGTCTGCGGACCATTTTTTTTGTTGCATGTTTACTAACTCTAGTGCAGCCTGCATGACAAGTTTGATTAGAAATGTTGGACAGTTTAAGTCAATTTAAATGTTTTTCTGAAAATGTAACCACACGAAGATCATAAAAACTGATAAAAAGACATTTCGAAGATGTCTTGTCCCCTTGTGTCCCTGAAAATTCCTGCTCAATGCATATGGAGATGTGTACATTTATTTTTGGTGATATCCTAGAATGAGACTTTAGTCAAGAGCGTGTTTTGGTAATTGAGGCTGCCATGTTTCCTTTATGTTTTTATCTAAAATATAGAAATTCTATATTCTATAGAAAATGTCTATTTTTTGATTTAATGATCAATGAAGCCAACAGTTTGTTCGCCTAAGCGCTGATGTCCAATGGTGTCCAATCAAGATGTGTAAATGTACCATGAGATGATGCTTACATGATCTACCTACAGATTAAATTCAATTAAATTAGAACAGTTTTATTTCTTTTGTACAACCCGTCATGAATAACTAGCAGTAAAGGAAAATCATTGATCATGTCACTTACTTGGAGCTCAAACTATTAAATTTTCAGTGCTGATAAATTAATTATTTTCAGAGAGGATTTTAAGACCAGAGCCAACCATGAATTTAACATCATTGATGGGATACGAGCCAAGGACTTCGACTTCTACCAAAATGATCATGTGTTCAGTCAGATTGTTTACATGCACAGATAAGCCAAACTGAAATGATTAATTGATCTATGTGTGACTGCACTAGCTTAGCTGAGTTTGAAATTTGTAGATTGGAATTTTTTTTCCTTTAATTGCTAAACTTAGATAACCAAATTATTTTCTATCATTATTTTCTAAACTAACTAATTATTTCCCGCACCCCTACTATATATATTTGTGAATATGATTATTTCTTATCTGCCTTTATTAATATTTCTTGTTTTTCATGAAATGCCCTTGCAGGAGCAACAATTGACCCTGGGGCTCAACAAAGTATATCTGATTCTGATTTCTTCCAAATGGCTCATATTACAAAAAAAAAAAAAAAGAAGAAGTTTGAAGTTTTTCATAAATGAAAAAGTAGCAGGAGAATTCACTTGATGCTCTGCATATCCTGTCAGCACAAAGCACTGTTTTGTTTACTGGCAACTTTATTGATAGTTATTAACTGAGATACCAGTTAATAAATAATAATAAATAAATAAATAATCAGTTAAAATGTTAGTTGTTTCACAGTCATTGTTAAAAACAACGCTGTATTAGTGTGCACTCAACTCCTAGATAAGGGCTGTCAAATTACCTACTGTATGTAAGTAATGGCAGTGAATGGAGGATGATGGAGACAATTTACTCTTAAGTCTTTACAAAACAAATGCTAAAACGCCTTTTTATTTCATTAACTAACATTTAGCCAATGTAGCAATATTCAACAGTTGAAGGTAGAGAAATAAACGTCAAGGCGAGAAACCTTTTCTTTAACCATGTCAGCGTTTGACATGACAGCCACATAATGAATTATAGGGGTGACATTTGTCATCCATATTTCTCTTGCAACATTTTAAATGCACATTATGACTTTATAAAATGTCCGTGGTGACCTGCGTCTTACCTCTAATTAACGTCAAAATGCAAAATTAGCCATCTGGCTTTTTCTTCCTTCCTAGTCTGAGTCTTCAGGAATACTGTAACCTACAGCACCGCACCATGACTGAAGAGAAATGTAAACCAGATGCACGTCTGTTTGATGTTCCTTGCATATATTGCTCATCTTAAACAAACTAAAATAAAAGATCAGTGGAGGAGATAAACACTATTACAGCAGGAAATATAGCTAAATTAAATAAGCAAATTATGTTTGCGTATTAGGAATCCATAGATAGTATCTGTGTGCCAGTACACCGGTACACTGTGGTGTGATTTATGCCAGTTTAACTAGTTTTCTCTTTGTGATTTGGCCCAGCTGCTCCTTAAATGTCACATACATGCACATTATGTCTTTGTACTTAGAGATGCAAAATAAGGAGGTTAGGCATGCAAAGTACACATCCCTGTTCATAATTCAGTGCTCAGTTAAGGTACTTAAAATAATTGTCCTATATTTAGACGGTACAGTATCTGCCTTTGTGCTATAATGAAATAAATCAATCAGGATGCATTCCTGTAAAAGAAAAAGGAAACTTCTTGCATTTTGCTTGGAGGGAATTTTCTTACTTTGAATTGTTACTTAGGTTGCCAAAAATCACTTAGCTCTGCATGGTTAGCAGACTGGAATAGAGATTCCAAATATAAAATACGAATTTGTTTAAGCCTCGTGAAAATATTTTCACTCTGAGGAGAATAAAAATAGGGATCTGCTAAAATGGGGGATGGATGGGGTCACTTCAATCACTGCTTTCACTGCATGTTTATATTATGCAGAACAGAGTCTGTAACCCGGAGCAAAGGTTGACCAAAAGCCGGTTTGCGCTACATGTTTTGCCTGGATTTCTGTTTCTTTAATCAAAAGCACATTCCCTGCGCTCGGTAAAAAATTCTTTCAAGCTGGTGTATGACCAATAATTTCAAAAAGCAATAATGCAGAGAAATGGATACCCCCCCACCCCACACACGCACACACATTCACAAGATGCTCTGAAAAAAGAAACAGTGTCTTCTAGTAAAATTCCATCAGCATACACTCAAAAAAACCCATAAAAACCTTTTCAATCTATATGTTAATGCTGCGAATTAAAATTTAATAACATGAGATATTGAAAAGCAGACTTGAATTATACAAAAATAAATCCTGAAAGATCAGGCCCCTAAAATTAGAAATTCAGGGTGGCATCTGGTCTGCTGCTAAACCCTTGTAGGCTGGCAGATTAAATTTTTGATGAAAATCAAAATTACACTGCACGCTGACGCAGGCGCAGCAAACCTGGCAGTATTGTGATTTATGGATTCATTAAACCCGCGGGAGTTTCACCCCTCCTCTTTTCACTCAATGAAATGAGATTTGCTTTGCTGAAAATTTGTATTTTCAGAAAAGCTATTCAGGCTCGGCTCTACCTTCAGAAAATGGTCAAGGAAAAAAGAGCTCCTGTGTACATAACCACTGCACAGGCCTAATTTTCATTGCTGCAGCAATTGAACATCCTTATGCATTATTCATGAAACCAATAAGGTTCATTTTTACAAAGGAAGAGGCAGGGAGAAAAAAAAACAGAATTTTTTTTTTAATGCACCAAGCCCAACCTCTGAAAAGCTGTTCCCTAGAGACTAATTTAAGTGAAGCCATTTTCAGACAATTTCAACATGCCATTTAGAAAATAACACAGCATAAACGGTCACTGTGTTTGAAGGCTGCCTGCTGTTTTTGGACATTTGTAGGCAAAAATCAGGAATCTGTAATTCTGAAAGGAGAATCCATTTCAGATCTAACACAGAGGTTCTCAGTAAAAACCCCATCTGTATATAAACATTAAATGTACATAGTTGACTATTTTTGACCAACTTTATTAAGCATGTGCTTCTTTACTATTCTGCCCATGACATTTCAAATGCCTCCTTTCTGCTCAATCTATGTCCACATATGTTTAGTAAAAATCAAACCTACACCCCTCCATAAAAAACACTGTTTCCTGCTTTACTTTAATGTGAAAAAACAACTTATCTTATAAGTTTATCAACCGTACCTAAAATCCATCCACATTAATCTCATGACACTGGTTGCCCATCTTCAGTCATGTACTTCAACAGAACCTGCGGCATTTTGATTACACTTTGCAAGCAAAGGCCAGAATTTACACTTAGATTTTTACCAGCGCACACAATTTCCACCAGCTCTTTAAATTTATACATATTTGAAGGTCAGCATTTAAATTACCCACAGCAAAATGGCCTTCACAGTTTCCCTTGCATTAAAATAAAAGCAAGCCATGCAAGATGGGAAACTGTTTGGCGTCTGCAGGATTAATATAAACAGTAGAGGCACTGGATGTAATTGTTTTTCCTGCCCTCAAATTATGCTGACTGGAGTCTTTCTTCTTCCAGTGCTGTTCACTTTACTTTGGATAGTTATTTTCCATTTACAGATTTCCAGTCTCTAGAAATAAAAAGTCAGAATGGTTCCATGTATTTACCAAGCAGCAAATTATGTCCGCACACACTCGAGAGCACACACACAAAACCAGGCAAAACCAAACACAGAGCAAGATCAGAGTGAATTTGCATGTTAAAATTTAAAGGATGAAAACCTGCACTTATGTCATAAGATTAATTTTTTAAAAAAATTAATAAATAAATACCATCATAAAAGTAGGGTTAAAAATGCGGATTACTTGCAGTGCTTCATGTGCAGTTTCAAAAGGTCATATTTTGCATTAATTAACATAATGAGAACGTGGTGTTTCTTAAATCAGTCTAATGTCAATCACACACACACACTACCTAATAAATGATTCTCAAACTGGTTTCATTTTTTTAAATCCCAAAATGACTGCCTACAGGTGGCGCCATTGACACCCAGCTTTATAATCCCCTACCTTCCTAAAATTAAAAATAAAAATGTATTTCGACTAAAACGGCAGTTTTTTTCTCTCGTTATTTCCATTCATCTGCGTGCACAGAGCTAATTCAACCGCCAGATACGAGACGTGTCAGGAGTGAGTGTGACTTCTAGAGCAGCAACTCCGGAGCTCTGCTCAAATTTTGCTTGAAAATTCACAAAACATGGCTGCAGGAGGTTTTTGTATTTCAGATTGTTCCTCCCCTCATCGTCCTTCATGTTGCCACTATCGCCCAGTTCCCCCTCGCCTCCGCTGGAGCAGACCCAGGCTTCCTACCTAGTTGGTGGTTACAGATGAACGAGCTCAGTGCACAGGCGACTAGTCAGTAGTTAGGCGGAAACTTCATTAGGAGGGAAAAAAATCAGTCAAAAAACATCAACAGATTACGGTCTGTTCAGGATGGCTTCAAAAGCCTGCACCTGGTTTTCGTGACAGACAGCGGTGCAGAGGGACTGGCAGTTGTCGTTCGCTGTGTACAGCGGATACAAAACTTAACACCCCCCCACTAATTTTTAGAATTTGAGATTTCCTAAATCACATAAAAATGACAAACAACGGTTTGACATACCTTTTGAAGCGATGCAGTTCATGCGAAACAGACTCTCGCTCCAGAAATCTTCCCTTCCCGAACAGGGGTTGACTGACTGCACAACTGCTCCCTCAAAAATGTGAATTAGTTATGAGAAAATTTTGAATGTAAAAAAAATTTCAACACGACGTTTTTTTAATCTACCCCCGCGACACGCTGCGTTACATTTTAAAAAAGAGTAATGGCGCAATAAAGTGTTGAATTTGTCGAGGTTCGCCAAGTCCGTGAAGGCTCTTCGTGTGTGCTTTGCACAGCGGGTTTGTGTTGCGGTTCGTCCTGTGGAAATTTTCGTCCGCCATATACAAGGGCAGATTCCGAAATTGCAGCGCCGGCCTGTATATTAGCCTACATGGAAAAAAGGAAAAAAAGAAAAAAGAAAAAAAGTCTGGGGAGCAGACGTAAAAATATAGGTTGGTCGACTATGAACTTACACGGGGAAAGAAAAAGCCGAAATTGCGCAGATGCAAAATTAATTTTTTTAAAATGAAAACTGCTTCCTTTACTAATAACATTTCCTGCCTACCAGGACTTGTTTGTTTTTGATTAGTTTAAAGTTTAATTAGGTCCCGCTCATTGGTTAGGCTTTGGTCCAATAAATCACAATATCTCTGGTTAATAGTTAACTTTTGCTTTTGATTGTGGAAGATGTTGTTGTCCGAACTCTAAAAGAAAAGTAATTAAAATAACTCTAGCTTGTGTGTTGGTATTACAGTGAAAGGCTTAAGAAAATAATTTGAAGCTAAATCTAACAGGAAAGTGCAACAAATTCGAAGCAAGATTTTCAAAACATACTAAAACCCTGTGACACATACATGACGGGGCAAGATTTTGGTTGTCCAATAATTTTAAATTTCGAAAACCTAGAATTATCTCAGAATACTTCCCCCTCCTTTTTAAATAGTTTTGTTTATAGAGGAACGTTTTTATTCCAGTGTATAAAAAGACGTGGTTTCAAATCTTGTTTTTAATGATTTTATAACTAAACTATTTACACTATGTATTGTCTTACAACACAATGTAGAAATATCAACATTATCATGCACCACTGTGTATTCCAATCTATATCTAATGATAAATAATTTTAAAGATACAAACACAGACACATTAAAATAAATGTACTATCGTCCACGCTGACAGTAAATATTGTGTCCCTTAAATATGCTTTTAAATATTTGCAAAATCTGATGTCTAAAAAAAAGGGGGAAATAACAAACAAAGAATAGAATAATGCCAAGAAAATTTGGAATAGTCTTAGTCAGTGACTGTGCTTCATTCCATGATGTGCTGGTCAGTCACAGGAACACTTTTAGCCAAAGACTTATTTCACCATGACACACTGAGCGCCACAGGAAATAATTTCTGCCTCAGGCCATCTGACTCTTTAACCCCTTCCCATGAGAGTCATTATTATTTTACTTACTGGGCAATATTGATGCAATATTTACTTTTCTGCTGTTCTATGTTGTGACCAATATTTGTGCAATAATCTGCTCTGTCCAATCTGTTGTTTCTCATTCTATGTAATATTACTTTTAATATTTTTGTAATATAATACTTGATTGCAATATACATATTTAGCAGTGCTTTATCAAGGGCATACTAAAACCTATGATGTTATGATTATGTTTGTTAATATCTATTTTTATGCTATACATATTTCCTAAACTAAGTAATGGTAGTAAGTAAAACTTCATTCTTTGTCATTTTTATACTGAAGTACTCAGCTTCCTCTTTAGGAAAACATTATTTTCCTTCACATTCAGTTTCCAGCAATCAGGGGATTGTGGCTTTCTTTAGAAAACACTGACTCATTTACTATGCGTTGACTAATGGGTACAAACTGAAGTCTGTGTAGTAGTAACAAATTGATAGAGAGAACAACACAAATGGCCCATAAACACCCTAAAGAGTCTAAAGTCTCCACACCTCTACAGTAGGTCTTCATCAAGGGGTGACCACAATGGACTGGATGGAACCAAACCCAGAACCTTCTGCATGGCAGGAGAAATCCCCCCACACACCACCGCACCTTATTAAGTAATGACAATATTATGTTGCTAAGTATTTTTTATCTGTTTTTTGTTTTGTTTTTTTGTGCCTGCAGTCAGGAATTTCCCATTGATGAAACCAATATCCCTTTGGAATTTATGAGAAAGTTCTACATGTCATCACCAGTCAATATTTACATTTACTACACGCTAGATGTTAGGATCTCATGTCAACTGAAATTACTGTACAGTTAAGAAAAAATATTTTAATTAAATTGAATAAATTATTTTTACTACTGGGGGTGGGCTCATTTTTATCACCTGTCAAGTGTTATTATTTTTTTCTTCAAACGATGTTTCAGATTCTGTTTAGCATGACTAGTGTCGGTTCACTTTATGCATACACCATAAAATGTGACATTTTAATCATTAAGCTCGACGTTTTTATAAAGTGACACATTTATGACCTACGTTCTGTGCTTTGAAGTTTACCTCGAACCAATCCCATTTACCGTTGGGACTTTAAGCGCTGCATTTATATACCCTGTCCAGCAGAGAGCACCAGCACGTCAATTGTTGGTGCCAATACAACTGCAGAGTGCTTCACTGCATCTGCACAGTGATGCCTGCTCACTTTACCCGTCGCCCTCTGGTGTTAACAATTTGCAAAAGCTTTGCAAAATCATGTACTTATGTAGGTATGTATAGATGTATAAATATAAACATGGGTGTATGTATGTATATATACGCATACTGTATATACCTATACATATATCTATATATTTAAAATAAACCATAAAAAAAATTAAATTAAAATAAATTAATCTATTGTTAACTATTATTATTGTTGTTATTATTCTGATTATTATTATTATGCTGCTATATCATAATATTATGTTGTTATCTTAAATGCTAACTGTTAGATTATTACTCTTTTTTGCAACTATTTCTAAATGTGGTTATGTTTCTAGTGTGTTGCACCTTAAATGCTAACTGTTAGATTATTACTGTACATATATATTTTTATGGTTGTGGCAGGGTGATGTTGCCGGTTGTTCTCCAATGGCTTTGGAAGAAATGTATATATACAAGTCTTCTAACTTGGTTTATAACTTCAGTAAAATATTTCAATTTTAATTCTGAATCCCCTGGTGTCACTCAGAAGTTTCTGGATTAATACCAATGGAAATATCATTTCAGTTTACATTTTTCAATAATAAATATAGAAACCAAATGATAAAGCTTTACACTGCAGTGGACAACACCAATGATCATAATCATTTACATAATTTCCTGTGGTGCCCTTTCTTCTACCACCACCTGAGAGCTTATACACTTGTCCTGGGTCTTGACCAATCACTAGAGGTGGTGCAGCCCATTTCTTCTATACAGTCTATGGTTCTTATTGTAATAGTGGGTTATAGGCTTGATGAGGGAAGCAGCAAACTTTTCTTCTATCCATCCCATGATCAAAAGTGTGTTGCTAATGCTATAGACATATGACACTAGAGTCACCCACCAACATGAGTGGACTTTGAAGCTTGAATCTTGGTGTTGGGCAGTTTTTCACAGCTGCTGAGAACCAATAGAAACTGAGTTACACTGAGGAATGACTTATTGACTGTTACTGCAACAGCTGCTCTGCACATTTGAGATAAAACAAAAACACAACATTGTACAGTAGGATCTGTACTGTCCTTGCCTTTTTTAATTTTTCACAGCTCAAGGTTGACCTGACCTCCTCTCAACCTACTTTCCTAAATATATATATATATATATATATTTCTACAACTAGCAGGAGGATCAACAGGTGAGAGTGGCTGACAACAAGGATGCTATTTTTTTCCCGGTGACCTACTTGAGCACGAGAGCCACCAGACCTTAGCAGTATGCTCAAGAGCTTGGCATAAATTAGTAGAAAAATCCCCACCACGCTTTGCTGGTAAAAATCTAGGTCTCACAAAAATGGACATAGATAACAAAAAACAACAACCAGTAGAAAACGCATACGTCTGTCATGGGAAGAAAATGAGAAATAGCTGGAAATAACACAGGATTTGTGCTGCTTTGTGTTATGAAAATGAATGTTGTGAAAGTTGTGTCTACTGTATAAATTTTAATGATATTTTAAATCATTATTGTTGTTTTTGAGGTGAGTTAAAAGAACATGGAGGGAAACAGATTCAGAGTGGATCAGCGACAGTGTGCGAGTGTACGAACAGTCTCTTTATATACAGCTGCTGTTATTGTGGGTGTTTTGTTGTATTTGTGCAAACAAAGCAGGGGATTCTATTTCTGGCTTAGCTTTCAATGACACCAAACAAGTTTAAAATCCTGGACCAATCTGTGGTCAGCTAAAATATCAAGTACACCAGTGTAACTGACCATTATAGTCTAAGAGTTAACGCTTTACCTCATGTTTTTTATACAGTACGTTCGAAGAAAACAGTCGTTAACAGCCGAACATCAGTAAGAAAAACAAGGGTAGAGATTGATTCTTAAAATTTAGTTAAAGGTTTAGATAAAGTTTTTATTTGTGCTATAAAAAAAATCGAAGAGGATTTGCTCATTTTCTACCTGCAATACTTAATGCAATAATATTGAAAGTATCCTTGTGGTATTGCAGGAATTTGTTGAGCTTCAATTCAATTTTTTTTAATCAGATTTAATCACAGGGTAGCTGTAGATTATTCACGATTAATCATTGTTATAATGATATCATTTTTTATGATCAACTTTGATAAATCAACATTCCTAATTATCACAAACGTTTTTTTGTACAGAAAGTGTGTGTTTGTGATATATATATATATATATTTTTTTTTTTTAACTATGTAGTAAAGGACTACATGTGGGGGTTTCACAGGCCAGTACTTCAGGTACAGAAAGACCAGGGACCAAACCAACAACCTAGTGATCTTTCTGCTGTAAGGCATGAACAGTAGTTTTGTGATTAAGTAACCAGTGCAGACCTGGAGGTCAGACATGAATTAAGAGTCCAGTTCCAGCAGGTTCCTGTTCCTGTGTCCCTGTGCAGACACTCAGCCCTAATTTGCCCCTTGGACAGAAGGAAGATTCGGCCTGAAAACCCATCTGTTGATTTCCCACTGTGAAGAAGTGAGTGGCCAAAATGCATTCCTTTGATTTGACAAATCTAACAATAACAGAAGCTTTATTTCAGATTTTTCATCACGAACAGAAGATTTACGGTTTGTAAATTCATTAGAAAACACCAAAACAAAAAATGTTGCTTACTTTCAAATTGTTTTGCCAAGATGAAAAGCACTTCATCTATTTTTAGGCTAATTATTATTTTTCTTCCCTCCTCAGCCTGCAGGTAATCAAAGGCTACTGACTGTTTGTTCCTCATATGATTGCAAAGCATGACAAAAGCAGATGGGGAGTTAAAAATAAATAAATAAAGCACCTCAATCGCTCGAAGACCATCTCTATGGTTACACTTTGTGCGAGATGAGGGAACCAGAAGTGAGTAATGTAATTATAGCTATGACAGCCCAGTGTGAACTGACTGAAGCACCTTTGTTTCAGTGCATGAACTGCCCAAGATGAGTAGAAAAAGAATGGTTACGTAGTAAAGCTCCACGATGACAAAACATGATTACACCAGCGGCCTTTCCAAAGCTAATTATAGTTATTCACTTTCTGCTGTTGAACGTTTGTGTTTGGTCAGCCTTCAATCCAGACCTCAACCTTAAAGTCACCGACGGACTAAAAATACACAAGAAATGAATTTTTATTCTTGAGCGTATTACCAGCCTAAATCATTAAAAAGTTAGTTTTTTTAAAAACATAAACCATTACTCAAAACCACATATACAAATAAACTGATATTATCCTATAATAAAATTCCGGAACATTTCAGCCTGGACATCAGAACCTACTTCAGACTAGACACGACAAGAAGAACAAATGCATCTTTAT